CTCTCTCTCTCTCTCTCTCTCTCTCTCTCTCTCTCTCTCTCTCTCTCTCTCTCTCTCTCTCTCTCTCTCTCCATTTATGTGCGCGCGTGTGTTGGCGGGTGTATTTATGTTTGTCGCCTTCTGTCCCTCTCGGCGCTCGCACGAGCATGTGGTAGTTCCGTCGCCGCGAGCGAGCACATGTCGTCAGCTTACGTAGGGCGGAGACACGAGTGTTTATCAGAAGACAAGGAATGCGCTGACACGTGGCGAAGAATTCGCCACAACCGAGGGGAGGGTTCGGTAGTAGGGTTTTGTAACAGACAGACGTAAAGCTCCTTTTGTCTGTATTCCTTTTTCTTTGTTGATATGGATTTTCTTATGGCCTTTAGTATTGCTAGTAGTGTTTTCTTAACCAGCAGAAAGAGCACTATTTACCTCTTTTGCTTTTCCTCTGCGGATATGGATTTCTTTATACCTTCGGCGCGCCTGAAGGGACATATCGATTTTCGTTTCGACTGATGAGATAGAAGCATGGAAGTAGCCTGCGTGCAGTTTATTCTGCACCTTCGCTGGGTGTCTTTGCAGTATTGTATTTCTTTCATCGACGGGAGCAATGTTTTTCTCTGCTCTTCTTTTCTACTACCGGTAGTTGGATGTGGATTTGCCATTTGGTCTTTGGCCTGGGGACTGAAGATGCAGGGCCGTCATACAATTCATTTCATTTCCTTGTTTGGTGGTCGGCGCTGCCGTCGTGAGGAGCATCAGTGACAATCAGGTGATTTTGAATTTTGATTGACTGACGATCAACGGGCCTATAACGATTTTTGAACCAGTACTACGGTAGCCATCAACCAAGATTTTTTTTTTTTCTTTTTATTTTTTCTGTTCTTTCTACACTCTTCTCTCAACTTCTGTTTCTTTACCTTCCATTACCTACTCCTAAGACTATCTAGAGGGGACCCCTGATTTTGAATACATCTGGGGTATTAGGTCCCACTGACGAGCGGAAAAATGGATTTTTGAATCCTCAACATTAGCTTCTGTGTCATCGGACTCTTCGCTGCAACGGAATCACAACGAGCGATAGGAAAACCGTCGTTTGCTCGTCGCCGGCTAACTCCCGTTCTGGTTTGCCACTCGGGTATGGCTAGCAGCACGTTTTTCGGGGGGGGGGGGGGGGGTTCGCAAAATCTAATCCACCATGTTAGGTTTGTTGGAGGACAGCTATTCCTTCCTTTCCTTTTTGCTTCGCCGTGGTCGGAAGGGGCCACTGCCGAATTCTTTTTTCTTTTGTTGTATCTACTTGCCGTGTACTATCCCATGGAGCGTAGCG